GAACTGCGGCCGCTGAAAGCCCCGGCCCGAGCGGGCTCCGTTGTCAACGGTCCTCACCTCCGGGGTCCGGGGCTCCCGCCGCACCTGATACAGGAGGGGAAGGAGTGCGGTTCGAGCAGGCTGGAGGTCACCATCCCCATCAGGTGCGCCGCCTGGGCCATCCTCTCTCAGGGGTCCATCGCGCCCCGAATACTGCCCGAAAGACTCAGAAGCGACTTCCCCATCCCCTCGCGCTGTCTTTATATCCCAGACACTTAATAGCCTCTCATCATCTCACCTTTCACTTTTCCCTCTTTCCTAGCCGCCTCCGGCTGTATATCGACCTGCTATATTTCCATTGTGAGTTTGTTTTTTTTTCGGTTGTAAACTTACGTAAGTTAGGTTGACTGATCAACCGTTGCAGCCATTGAAAAAAAAACACTTCTACCAGCGTTTAACGAATCCAGTTCCTTTTAGTGCTCACCAGCTCCAGCTCAAGAATTCAGGGAGCCGTCAGTTCTTCACAGGAGCTGACTGCACACATTCCTGCAAGATGCCTGATGGATTTTGTACTTGTCAGTTTTGCTGGCTGTATGCTCCTTCTGTGCTTTTCCTGAAAAATGATTGGGTGACATGTGTTTTGACTTTCTTCCCCCCCCACCCCCCACTGGGAAGTAAAAAAAAAATTAGGTAACAGAAGCACACTTGTTTTCGACAAAAACAAGTACAGCTTTGCAAACAGACTACCCCAGGGTTTGCCCTTTTTTGTGAGGGTAGTCCTCTGGTATCTTGACCCCTTCCCTGGATTTTTGTCTGTGTTAATGTCTTCATGTTGTGTATTTCTGCACTTAATATTTGCCCGGTATATGTTTTCCCAGCTTATTTACACACAAAGCGTAACAGATCTGAGGATAATGAGGCTGCCCATCTTTTTAGCTACAGATACCTGTAAAGTTGCATATTTGTGGGAACCTGTATTCTGCACTTGATGACTGTAGCCTGGCTCTTTCATTTCAAGATGATGTGCGAGGTGATGCCGACCATCAGCGAAGCAGAAGGCCCCCCTGGAGGAGGTGGAAGCCATGGTTCCGGCTCCCCTTCGCAGCCAGACGCAGATTCACATTTTGAACAGCTGATGGTCTCCATGTTGGAAGAAAGGGACCGCCTTCTTGACACACTGAGAGAGACTCAAGAAACACTGGCCTTAACCCAGGGGAAGTTACACGAGGTTGGTCATGAAAGAGATTCCTTGCAGAGACAGCTCAACACGGCACTTCCACAGGTATGAGTGCTTTTAACTTGAGACTCTGTAGATTATTCTCCACTAAATGTTTTTTTTTTTAAATTGGTGTCATCTGTTGTTAATGTTTCAGAGGAATATTTTCCATAACCATTTGTGAAATGATGGTTTCTGGTGTTTCTAAGTCAAATACAAAGTTCCTAGGGATTAAACTTCTTAGGGAGAACAAATTGTTGTACTCTAAAGTCATGTGAAAATACCTCATTATTTTCATTCCTATCTTTGGGAACTGCCTAGGTTCAGGAAGTTCTCCAGAGTTTCTGAAAAAGGGCTCTGAAGCAACCAATCTATGTGGTGCCTCTGTTCTGTTGTCTTAAACCTTCTCTTGCTAAACTTGTGCTTCCCATGAATTGTGTCTCATGTGTTTCTAATTTCCTAATATAATTTAGTAGACAAATAGGATTGATTTCACAGAAAAAAATATTATTTTGATAGCCCACCTTTATCAGAACATCTAGGTTTTGTAAGTCACATTTGTTTTAGGGGATAGAAGACTGGAGATTGATTCCTTAGGAACTTCTTCCTTGGTAGACGAGAATTTTAAAGCTTAGGCCGGGTGTGTTGGCTCATGCCTGTAATCCCAGCACTTTGGGAGGCTGAGGCAGGCGGATCACCTGAGGTCAGGAGTTTGAGACCAGCCTGGCCAACATGGCAAAACCCTGTCTCTACCAAAAATACAAAAATTAGTGGAGCGTGGTAACGCACACCTGTAGTCCCAGCTACTCAGAGGCTGAGGCATAAGAATCACTTGAGACAGGGAGGCAGAGGTTGCAGAGGAGCCAGATTGCACCACTGTCTCAAAAAAAAAAAATTTTTAAAGCTTAGAACAACTGAAATTATTTCTCTGAGTATATTACATTTGGACCAGTGTTTGAAAGACTTTGCTCATGGAGTTGAATGAGGATTTGCTTAATGGTAGGTAAAGGGAGAAAGTGTAAAAACTAGAAAAGTGTCAGGTGAGTGTCACGGAGCATAGTGGGAGAGAAGTGGGTTACTTAGGTGTTTCAGAGCTATCTAGGCCCCATGTTACTCATCCTAAGTGCCTTTGGGGTGCATTCAGGTAGACCCGCAGAAACACACATTTATACTCGCATGATGGGTCTGCAGTGATAACTTAGTAAATGAATAATTACTAGCCTTAATGTATTTCTTGGCTGTAGTCAGTTCTCTGGGAAGATTGATAAGCCAAATGTGGGTTTCCTTTATAGCAACAATGATTTGACATTAGAGCTGTATGTTCCTTTTTTGTTGGATTGGAGAATCATTAAGATTTTTCTCATTTTAATCTTATAAAATACTAAATTTATTAAGGTCGAATTTTATTACTGCAATTTTTTTTTTTTTTGAGACGGAGTCTTGCTCTGTCCCCCAGGCTGGAGTGCAGTGGTGCAATCTCAGCTCACTGCAAGCTCCGCCTCCCGGGTTTACACCATTCTCCTGCCTCAGCCTCCCGAGTAGCTGGGACTACAGGCGCCCGCCACCTTGCCCGGCTAGTTTTTCGTATTTTTTAGTAGAGATGGGGTTTCACCGTGTTAGCCAGGATGATTTCGATCTCCTGACCTCGTGATCCACCCGTCTCGGCCTCCCAAAGTGCTGGGATTACAGTCTTGAGCCACCGCACCCGGCCTTGTTGGGTCTTTTAATTTTAGCTGTTCTGGTGGCTGTTAGCTGGTAGGTGGCTCAGTATGGTCTGAATTTGCTGCTCCCTGATGGCCAGGAACATGCAGAGGTAAAGCATCTCTTCCTGTGTTCACTGACCATCTGGATGTCTTGTGAGACGGTTATCTTTTGCCCATCGGTTGGTTGGGTTGTCTATTTTGTTTCTTACTGATTTGAAGGCGTTTTCTCTATATTCTGAGTACATATGTGCATGACAGATTGTTTTTAGACTCTCGTGTTTACCTTTTCACTTTCTCAGTGGTATCTTTTGATACACAGAAGTTTTAAATTTTTAATGTAGCCCAGTTGATCAATCTTTTCAGTAATGTTTAATGCTCTTTGTGTCCTGCTTAAGAAATTTGCTAGGTCAAGTTCATGAAGATACTCTACACTGTCTTCTGAAAACTGTGTTTTTAAATCTTCTGTCTGAAATTGACTTTGTTTATGGTATGTGATGGGGCCAAGAGTCTCTCTCTTTTTTTTTTTAATGGATATCTAGTTGACCCTGCATAATTTCTTAAAAAGACCATTCTTTCCCCAGTGTACTACACGCAGTGTCATCTATGTCATCTCAGTCCAGTGACTGGAAGTGTGTGGGTCTGTTTCTGGACTCTCTTCTGCTCCTTTGATCTTTTTGTCATCTTTGCATAAATAGCACAATGTCTAAATTACCGTAGATACAGTCTGTCTTGAAATCTGGTAATTTAAGAAAAAGGTTGCCCAGACTAGTGTCAAACTCCTGGTCTCCAGCAATCCTCTCTCCTTGGTCTCCCAAAGTGCTGGGATTTCCATTGTGAGCCACCACACCTGGCCCTGTAGATGTTCTTTATCCAGATGTAAAAATTCTTCTCTTCTTAGTTTGCCAAGAGTTTTTTAAATACCGTGAGCAGATGTTACATTTCTTAACATGGATTTTCTGCATCTTTTGAGACAGTCATGTGATTTTTCTGTTATGTGGGAATTTAACTGTTTTTATTTGTTTGTTTATTTTTGAGGTGGGGTCTTGCTCCATTACCCAGCCCGGAGTGCAGTGGCGCCATCATAGCTCTCTGTAGCCTTGAACTCCTGGGCTAAAGTGATCTTCCCACTCAGCCTTTCAGGTAGTTGGAATTATAGATGCACGTCACTGCGCCTTGCTTTTTTTTTTCTTTATTTGCTTATTGTTTGTAGCCTGGGGAAACAACCTCAGGAACTCCTGAGAAAGAGCACCTCCCTTTTAAAAAAGATTTACAATTGTAGAATAATTCCAACCTGATCTTGATGTATTCTCCTTTTACTGGATTGTATTTGGTAATATTTTGTTTAGGATTATTGCATTTATATTCACGAGAAAGATTGACTTGTAATTTTACTTTCCTTCAATGCCCTTATTGGGATTTGGTATTGAGGTTATGCTGGTTTCATAAAACAAGGTGGAATATATTCCTTCTTTTTCTACTCCCTAGAAGAGTTCCTTCGAAATTTGTGTTATCTTCCTTAAATGTTTGAAAACACTCTTTGGCAAAACCAGCTCCTGTAGTATTTTTAGAATTAATTTTATAGGTAGATGTAGGATTTTGAATATTTCTTCATGTGTCTATTTAGATAAAGCATTTTTCCCTGCTAGGGATTTGTTCAGGCCACCCAGACTTTCCAATTTGTAAGTTTAAAGTGGTTTACAGTCCTTATTATCTGCAAGATCTGTAGTGATGTCCCTTTTTAATAATTTTGATATTGGTAATTCGTATATTGTCTCTTAATCAGTCTTGAGGATTTGTCAGTTTTGTAAGTTCTTTCAAAGGACCAACTGTTAGCTTTACTTTTTTTCTACTTACATTTGTTTCTATTGCATTAATTTCTACTTTTTTTTT